CGCCCTGCGGCAGGTCGGCCCCGGCCGCCGCGCAGCAAATCCCTTCCCTGCGTGTCCGTGGGGGAGCGGGGGCTGCGGGACCCGGGCTCCGGGGGGCTGCGGGACCCCGGCTCCGCCGCGGTGGCTAACACGGCCGTGTCCCGCTCCGCAGATCATCCGCGTGCAGTCCCCGGAGGGCGTGAAGCGCATCACGGCCACCAAGCGCGAGACCGTGGCGACGTTCCTCAAGAAGGTACCGGGGGAACAGCCCCGCCGTGGGGGCGGCCCGGGGCTTCCCGTGCTGCTCCAGGGGGACGGTTAACAAGTCTGAAGGAGCAAACACGGCCAGCTTTCCAACTGGAACTTCCCGGGGGTGGCAGCGTTCCTGGGAAGGACGTGGTTTCAATGTCCTCCCACGGAAACGAGCTGCTAAATGAGTAGCTGAGGAAGTGACCGTGAAAGCTCCCCAGGAAAGGGCTGTTCGAGCCCCCAAAGCCTCCTGCAAGGCCCTGGCTGCCTCAGACACAGCCCAGCTCAACTTTGGCTGCCTGATTTGCTCCTTGACTCTCGTTTGCGTGGGCTTTGCATGTCGCTGCTTTTCCAGTATAGTTCTGGAGAAAGGAAGCAAGCGCTTAAAATGGAATCTTAAAGCGGAGCCTCCTGGGCTCTCTTGGGAAGCATTTCCAACCTGGAACGTGGAGAACACGTTGGGCTGGAGCTCCTCAGTTTGGAGGTGGCTGTAGCTTGGTCTCAGGTTTCCTGCAACCACTTGGAGTTTGAAATTTGCTATTTAAGTGTGAGCTGGGCTCCATTTTCTTCTTTCCTAGAGCTCGTCTGCAAACTGGAACCCTGGAGTTGGGAGCACTTTGTGTTCCCCAGCCTGCAGGGCTCCTCTTTGAGTTATCTAGTTTTTCTGATACCTTGTGAGGGTGAAGGGGAGCCCGCAGAAACATTCTGCTCCTCGAGAGCCGCTTGCTTTGTCTGGAATATGATGATAACAGTAATTCCACTTGGCCAAGCACAAATCCTGCCTGTTTTCAGGATTTCTGGGCTGGGTTAGTGATACTGCAGCCTCAAGACGCCCTCGTGCAGGGAAGAAGGGCTCGCTTGGAGGTGTGTGGACCCTGTGCAGAACAAGCTGCTCGTGTTACCAGAGGGAGCCTGGAACAAAAAGCATCGGAACAAAAGCATCAGCACTCCCTGGTGTGCCCATTAGCCTGGGGAAAGCCCTGCCCTCCTGCTCGGCTCGCTGAAAGAAATGCTTCTTGGGCTGCTTTTTGCTAGTAGAGTGTAGTTCAAAGAGGAAAAAAACACATTTTATCACATAAAATCTTTCTGTATTAATAGCTGGGGATTTTAGCACTCGGATGTTAGTGTATGGGGTGGATTTCCTATTTAGCAAGATAGTTATAATCAAAGGAGCATCAAAGATTGCTTCCTCAGTGTTTGCAGCTGACTTGGACATCTTCCCTGAGGGCTCCAGAAACGCTTGTGAACACAGAATTCAGTGAGTGGAGAAGCTACTTGGCTGTTTCCCTTGGAAAGTGCTTTTTTCCCCTCCGTGCCACACTTGCTGAGCTTCGAAGGTGTTTCCTCCCCGGATCCTGTTGTCCTGCTCCCTTGGCAGTTGTTGTCCAAGATGCAGAAACGTCCCTTTCCGCGTGTCGAGGACCTGGGTAATCCCAGTTCTCCGTCCTCCGAAACATGAGGCCGTGCATCCTAGGTGAGGACACGAAGGAAGGAGACTCTCCGATGCATTCGGGTTAAAATCTAGTCAGAAACTGGAGCTTTTTGTTAATCTATCGTGAAATACGGCTGCGTGGAAGCGTCGGCGAGGTCTGTGGCCTGACGAGCTAGCGTTTGGCTCCAACAGTGGCAGTGCAGGAGGGAGCCCATTCAGAACCCATGAGTCCATCAGGACAGCACGTTGGCTCCTGCTGCAAGCTGCAGCCCAGCTGGCACTTGAGAATCTGCTTTTTCCTTTTTATTTTGCTCGTGTGGCAGTTCTGTGCGGGGTTGGTTGAACTCGTCCTGTGTGTGGTCACTGTCCCCATTGCTCTGCCAAAACCACTGAGGAATGTGCTCGGTGAAAATAAAGGAAAACTGTTAAGGACTGAGGAAAGAGTTGTCATCTAGAGAAACTTTTAACTCCATTTCTAAATTAATTAGCCCTTTTCAAAAAGGGAAAATGTGAAAATAGCCATAAATGGCATTCAACTGATTAAGAGCAAAGCAGCCTTTAACTGAATTGCTGAGAGGAAGAGGGACTGGAGGGCTCAAAAATGGCTCTTGTGAGAGCAGGGCCCATCCTGAGGAACAGGACAAGTGCAGAAAAGCACCAGTGAGGGCAGCAGGAAGAGCTGTTGTGGGAAGGGAGCCGCAGGAGCTGAGCTGGGCGCTGGAGAGGCTCAAGGACGATGCTCAAGGATTTTTTAATGTTTTTTTTTTTTTTTCAATAAATTACTTGTATTTTGAAGTGTTCCCATTTTTCTTTGTTGCCCTGCACTCCTTAGAAATAAGCTAGGCTTTTGCAGGAGAAGTCCCCTGGCCTCAGTGCTTGCTCTCGGCAGCTTTCAGCATCTGACTGGGGTGTGAGGGGTCTTAAACCATGTCGTTTTTCTCTCTCTTTCAGGTTGCAAAAGAGTTTGGTTTCAGGAATAATGGCTTTTCTGTCTACACCAATAGAAACAGGACAGGAGAGATCACAGCGTCGCAAAACAAATCCCTCAACTTGCTGAAAATCAAGTGAGTCCTGACGGAGGGAGGGGGAGCTCGGGACACCAGGGTGCCTCTTCTCTCAGCGTGTCCCAGCTCTCCATCCTGGGCTGGGCAGCAGAAACCACCACTCACGGCTGTCCCCGGCGTCTGGGTGTTGAGGAAACCGGGCTGGCATGCAGGGATGGGCTCTGTGATGCTGCCCGAGCCCTCTCCGGGGTTTCTGGTGCCGCCTGTTGTGGCGGGGCAAAACCTGCAGCCTTGTCATGGGAATGGCCCGAGCAGCAGCGGCTGCTGGCGC